ATGAGACAGGATTTCTCATTGGTCTACCAAGGAGACTTGGCTAGCTGGCAGGGCAGCTGCAGGGACATGCTTATCTTCACCTCTCCCAGTGCTAAGATTATAAACACAGGCCAACCATACCAGGCTTTGTGATATGAGTTCCATGGATTGAACTCTGGTGCTCAGGTTGCCATGGCAAACATTTTACTAATCTCAATCTCCCCAGGCTGAGATGCTCTCAAGAGAGGTAAAGTTTGTATGTAACCCAGAGATATGAGTGAGCACATTCCAGCCAGTACTGGTTGTTAAGCATTTTTGAAGCAAAGGGAGGTATGTGTTTGTGAATGGGTGGCAGTAGCGGGGGTGGGTCTATTTTGGGGTGTCAGTGGACTTGGACCACAACCTTCCACATAAAGTAGACTCCACACTGCACAACTGCTGTGGCAAATAAAAGATGTGAAGCAACTAATGGAAAGGGTTTTTTTTTTTTTCAAGACGAATTTCTCTGTGTAGTTTTGGTGCCTGTCCTGGATCTTACTCTGTAGACCAGGCTGGCCTTGAACTCATAGAGATCCACCTGGCTCTGCCTCCCAAGTGCTGGGATTAAAGGCGTGTGCCACCACCACCTGGCAGAAAGGATTGCTTTTTAAAAATTGAATTAAAAACATTTAGATTTGGGCTGGAGAGATGGCTCAGAGGTTAAGAGCACCAACTGCTCTTCCAGAGGTCCTGAGTTCAATTCCCAGCACCCACATGGTGGCTCACAACCATCTGTAATGAGATCTGGCACCCTCTCCTGTATATATAATAAATAAATAAATCTTTAAAAAAAACCATTTAGATTTAATGTTATGCATATGAGTGCTTGTCTCCATGTATATACATGCACCACATATATATCTGGTGCCTGCAAAGTCAGAAGAGAGCATCAGATCCCCTCGAACTGGAATTACCTATGATTGTAAACCATCTGTGTGGTGCTGGAGACAGAATCCAAGTCCTCTGTCAGAGAAAAAAGTGCTTTTGACACCTGAGATGCCCCCAGTGGTGACATTATCATTCTTAGAGCGGCTCTCTCTCTTCCCAGGCTATAGTTTTCCTTTGTCAGATGAACTTTCTTTCCCTGGCCACTGTTCTGTGTTTCAAGAACACAACTTTGTTCTAGCTGGTACTGGGAATGCATTGGTTTATTTAACAAGAGCATGTGGTGCTTTCTGGAATCAGGATTTCCACCAGATGCTGCCTGGAGGAGACTTGCTCAACAATGACTGACTGCTCACTTTGCTGCAGGTTGCCTGGCTGTGCTCTCTGTACCTATTATCAAAAAAAAAAAAGGGGGGGGGAACTAAAAGCTATGTGAATTTCTGGTTGACTAACAGGAAGCCCAGGCAAGGAAACTGTATAAGGGCTTAAGAGAAGCAAAGATCTCCCCTTGAGTTTTAAACATAGTAAGACTAGACATCTGTATATATCAGGGGTAGATCACTGCCCTAGAGTGCATGTAAAGGACCCCAGTTTTGATAACAGCACACACATACAGAGAGAGAGAGAGAGAGAGAGAGAGAGAGAGAGAGAGAGAGAGA